GCACACGACCGCCCGCCCGCCCGCCCGCGAGCTCGGCGTCAGGGGCGCGCGCGGCCCGGTACCGCCGGGAGCGCGGCCGCCTCACGGCATGACACCCGGCGGTGCCCCCCTCCGCTTCCCTCCCCGCAACGTCATCAGCGCGCGGCGGCAGGAAGAGGCGGGGCGGGAGGCAGCGTTGAAAACTAGGCGGCCTCTGACGGAGGAGTGGGCGTGACGTCAGCGCGCGAAGCCGGAAGTAGGCAGCAAAGAGCTTCGCGTGGGGTGTTTTTTTTGTTTGTTTGCTTTTAACTCGACTAATTTCTCTTCCCGCGTGCTTGCTGACCCACCACCACCTCCTCGGGCGCGCGGGCGGAGGCGGCCAGGCCGCCCCGCACCCTCACCGCCCGCCCCGCACCCTCTCAGCGGCCGCCCCAACCCTCCACGCACGCTGGCCACGCCCCTCCCCGCCGCGCCGTGTGCTGATTGGGCCGTGCGCGGCAGTGACGTCAGGGACCGGCGAGGGCTTATAACGGGCGGCTTCGGCGGGGGGAAGGTTCTGGCAGACGGAGGACTGTGCCGGCGGGCGGCGGTAGCGGCGCTGCGTGGCCCGAACGACTCGCGATGACCCGTGAGTGCCGGCAGGCCTCTGGAGGGGGGGACTGGGCTGGGGTCCCGCCGCGGGGAGCGGAGCGGGCGGTGTGGGCCTCGGGCCGCTGGGCTCCGGGGAAGCGCGGCCTGGGCGGGGGTCGGCCGCGCCTGTGGTGCCGCTGTCGGGTCTCGGTCCTTGTGGTCTTGGCGCAGTTCCCGCGGCGGGTGCGTGGGCCGCTGGGGCTGAGGCTTCCCGCCGCCGTCCTGGACCTGGAGCCGACAGCATCCTCGCCCCGTCCCATGGCGTGTCTGCGCTGGGGGAGGGAGGGAGGGAGGGAAGGAGGGGGTGATCGGCTGGAACAACAGTAGCGCTCAGTTTCAGCCCTGGCCACTGTCCAGCCTGCAAATAAAAGGCTCTTATATCCCTGCCGAATACTTAATACTGTCTTGCTTAAAGGATGGTTGGTGAGGCTGGCGTGGAAGAGGGCAGCAGGATTTGCTGGCCGTCACCTTATTTAAAAGTAACACTGTTGTATCTACTCTAAAATGGTGGAAGGCTGTGAACCAAACCTAGAATAGTCCGTCTCACCTGGGATTGCTGTTCTGGCTTCTGTGTACGATACTTGGCAGTACAGAAACTGCTTGTGTTTAATTGAGGAGGTGCTTGTACCTTGACACTTAAAAATACATACCTTCAAAGCCACTGTACTGCTGGAAGAGCAGGTGGAAGACCTTGATCATAAACAGTTTGTGGACAGACCAGACCTCGAATGTGAGCAAGAGGCAGGTTTAGGTTTATGGCTTTTGTTTATTCTCTCCCCCCCTCCCCTCGCCCCACTCTGCATGATGCTAAAGTAAGCATAGTTTAAGGTTAAAAAGAGGTGCAGCATCCCACACCTGAGCATAGCAGAATCATAACATTTCATTTTAGGATGAGCTAGTTTAATAGAACATCTAAAATACTAGAGTTGTGCTTGTGGTGTCCAACCATGCAGTCTAGTCTTTGTTTCCAGAGGTCAGTGCTTTGTTATCAGTCAGACCTGGATGGTAGAGCCTGTGGTTTCAAATGGATATATAGTAGAGTAAGAATTGGATTGCTTATTAGCACCTATTTATTCTGCCTCCAAGTTAACAATTCATGGTACCTGTTGTACCACTGAAATTCAGGCTGGCTGAAAACCGAATAAATTTGTGAAGATGGTGATGACTAGCTGGATTGGAGGGGGAGTGTTGTTACTTCTCTTCCATTATTGCTTTGTTTTTGCACAAAAGGGCTCTGTTTACTTTTGCTTTCTATTTTTGGGACATGGTGGCAGGCATTTTACTGCTTTAAGTTCTGGCATGTGATTAGGTCCTTTGCTGATTTGAAAAAACTCCAGGGGTTATGACCTCACTAGCCAATCCTTACTGCCATTCTCTTTGACCTCCTTACAGTAGAGATAATTATCCCTTGCTCCAGTGCTATTCAGAGGTCTTTTGTGAATCTTCAAAAACTGCTCAATCTTGGAAGAGCAGGGACAGGTGGAACTAAGGCATCTGTCTTGCCGAGGCAGGTGGGGATGAGCACCCTCAAGCCATAGGTATAACCGGGAAGGGTGTACTGGCCTTTATGTGGCAGTTCACTCTTGAATTTCACATTACAGAAAGCTGAATTGTCTTCTGTCAGGGCTGGACCACACTTCAAGGAAGATTTACAGAATGCAGAAAGCAGCACCGTCTCCCTTGGAGACAGGGATACTCATTCTGCATCCCAGGTGAAGTATTGAGGCCAAACAGTCCTTGGCAATGCTTACTTGGGAGCAGGGATGGTACAATTAAGTTTCTTTCAAAATAGTTGTTTGGCTCTGTATGCCTTGTGTGCATACCGTACTGCTCAACTTTTCTACCTGCTCTGCTTTGGTGTGCAGAAGTGGCAGCCAGGCTTCTGCAATGAAGCCATTCAGTTTGCTTCTTAAGTTTACAATCTTGGTGTGTGTACAGAATAACACTGCAGGCACCCTGCACGGTGTTTGTTTGGAAAGGAAGGAAGTGCGTGAGGGTAAAGGGTGGAGGATAACCGCTATGTGAACGCTGACTCCAGCAGTGTGTTTTGACTTCCTGCCTCTTTTTCCTTCATGATAAAACAAGATACTTTGTTTCTTTAAGCACCACAGAAAAGTTTCTTCATTGCTGCTAACTTTCTCATGTGACATTCCATGCCTTCTGAGCACCACAAAGCTCAAGGACCATTTATAGCCTGGAATGTATCATCTGCTCATGAGTCACCAAGTTCTAATCAACACCAGCAGGGCCAGAGATGGATAGCTGTTTTACTGACGTTTCTGAACAAAGTGACCCTTCTTCTGTGTGGAGTTTGGGGACAGAATCTCACTGAATGCTAGTGAGGAGGATGGAGCAGGAGTTCTGTTACCTTCTTCAAAAGGTAGTACTTGATGTTGTCACAAATGAAGTATATCTTCCAAGGCAGGAGCAGCCCTCATGAAGTAGCAGTTGTAATACCATGTTTTCATTTAGGCTTTTGGCACCTCTTGCCAGATAGTACATCTACTGGTGTGAAGAATGCGCAGATCTTTTGAGGTCACCTCATTAATAGTATTTGAGTGTAATGAATTAAATGGACCAACAGTTCATCACAAGCAAATTAGGTAGAACAACTATAACTGTGCCCTTGCTGCCAAGTTAAGAGAACACCTACATAAAGAAACTCGTAAAATGAGGAAGATTGAAAAATACAGATGTTGGTTTACAATAAAATCTAAAAAGTATGCATGGGAAAGAAAGCTATGAACACAAACCCATATAGCATCTGGAAAGAACCTTCCTGAATGCTTGTTTGTTAATTCCTCCAGTAGCATGAAAATATTCTTGCATGTGAACAGCATTAGGGTTGTCCCCCCTGTGTAGGGTCATATGAATACACCTGTTTTGAGAACATGGTGAGTTGTTTTGTGCTGAAGAGGTGTCTTGATGAGGAACTGGAGTTTTAGTTCTGTGGTAACTTCAGCTTTGTCAGCCCCACTTCTTTTGCAAGGAGCTTTGTGGTATGTGGTAGGTAAACAAAATGTTGAGCTGAAGCTCCTTAGCTGCTGTAGCCTCATACTGTATATGTGTCAGCTGCCTTGGAGCAAAAATGAATTAAACTTACATGGTATGCTGAAATCTGAGATAGAGAGGATGGCTCCTCTTTGGATGAGTTATGGTCATCACATTTTGCCCAGGGTATTGATGGGATGGTCTGCCTTCAGTCTTTTATGGGAAACTGCACTTTGTTTCTGGAAGGAATGTTGGAATGGATTTTGGTGATCTCTTTGCCGTGACCTATAGAAATGTAAAGGTGAGAACTAACAGGCTTTTATGCCTCCCATTGTCCATCAGAGGGGGAGACTGTGATGGAAGGTACTGCCAACTACAGAAGATACTGCCATACCCACTCTGCAGATTGAGCCAAACCTTACCACCTTTATAATAGGCTTCTACACAGGCAAACTGTGTGTAAAAAGTAGTACTATCTAGATAAATTGTGTATTATCTTACAGGTGGGAACCAGCGTGAGCTTGCCCGCCAAAAGAACCTGAAGAAGACTCAGGAGATCCACAAAGGGAAAAGGAAAGAGGATAGCTTGTCTGCTTCTCAGAGAAAACAGAGGTAAGATCTAGTACAGTTGAGTGAAATGATTAGGCAAAATAGGAGGGGAAAATGGGTCAGAATCTGGTGTCCCAGCTGAAGCAGTGTTTAAGCACTTTGCTTTGATTCATGGTCCATTCATGTGCCAGAGCATAAACCATGGATGTAAGTTTTACTGTATCTGCTGTTAAACATTTCTTTTTGGTAAGACTTGTAAAGCTTTTATTTCTTTTGAGTAGTTTTTTGCCTGGTAGGAATAAAAGTAGGTATGGAAAGATTGTGTAATACTTTCTTGAAGATGTTTGATTCATTGTTGTCCTTTACTTATAAAACTAAAAGAATTACATAAGGTCTCCTACTCAAGTAACTTGTCTACACCATGGGGTACAGTACTGAAAAAACCAGGATAATAGAAGCAAGTGTGTTCATGGCTAACTGAGAAATTTTGTACTAACCTCTTTCCCTTCCTGAAATGGGGGTTGCTAAAGGGCAAAAAACAAGCTGGAGGAAAGTCTACTTAGAGTGAGACAGTATTTTAAATCCGACTTTTTTTCTTCACAGAGACTCTGAAATCATGCAGCAAAAACAAAAAGCGGCTAATGAAAGGAAGTCTATGCAGGCAGGAGCAAAATGAGCTGCCTACATGGAGAAGATAGAGTGCACCAATGAAGCAGAAGGGCCTAGAAGATAATTCACAGAGGGTCTGACCATTAAATGATTAAATGTCTATCTTGCAGAGTTGTGCAACTAGCATTAGAGTATTTTCTGGTTAGCATAGGCTTAGTTGTCTGGAGTGCTTTTTCAAAACTGACTATACTGTTCTGCATGCATATGATAAAAGTACCAAGCAATAGCTTTACTACAGCTTTTGCTGCATTTGTTGGTTTCACTTAATGGTTCCAGTAACAATGAATTTCTGAATCTACAGTTAGACCAGATTTTCTTGTCTGAATTCTTGAAGTACAGCTTCATTCAGAATGGAATACATTGTAAAATGTGCTTAACTTTGCAGAGGTCTGAACTGTAAATCTCAAATTATTTTTTACAATAAAATGTTGCATGAAATACTGTCTAATCTGAAGTGGTTATGCTTGATACTGAATTGATTTCTAATAAGATGCCAAGAACACAAAGAAAAGATAGAATTGTGAAGAAATTAAATATAATATAAATACAAACAAAATTTACAAAATGAGAAATGTGTATTATAAGCAATATATATGCAGTGGTAAGTCTGCACTGTAGAAAAGGGTGCTATGGAGCTGCAGACTTCATTGGTGTATGTTACTGTGGATCTCGTACCGATACCAGCTTTGGAGAAGCTGCAGGCTTGAAGTTAATGAGCTGCAGGTGTAAGCAGATCTTGAAATTGCTGTGTCACTAAAATGATTTAAAATTGCTGCTTAAACTAGCCTCAAGAATAAAACTTGGCATGGGAAAAAAAAACAGCGCTCACTCTACAGATGTGCTTGAGCGTTGTGGGAAAGTAAGGGAAGATTGGTGAGGAGGACTGTAAACACATGTAGGAGCACGTAAACATGCTCAAGTGACTCCAGCATGTGGGGTGCTGGAAAACACGTCTATCACACTAATTGTTGCTTAGTTTTGTGTGCTCAACAAGTAGAACATCTGCATTTAGGTAATGTAGGCCTGGGATGGGCTCAGGGACACCTTATCAAACATGAGGTTCCTGCCCTGCTGTTGAAGAGTCAAAGCACAGCAGAAAACTCTGCTGCCAGAATCCTTGAAATCCAGGCCCAAACAGCAAGTGGAAACTCTCTCACGCCCTTGATAACAAGAACTTTCTTGCTAATAAGGACTCTTGCTCTGCAGTGCCTGCATCCCCTGCTTGCCTGCCTCTGCCTGGGTGCTGCTTCAGAGGTTCCCTGATCCATGAGCTATTGAGATTGTATTTGGTCTCTGCTCTTAATCCGTGGTTTTGTGGTTGTTCCTGCGTCCTGCCTGCATTGGCTCACACAAGCATGTTGAATACTGAGGAATACTCCCTGGAAGGAGTGAGCTTTGAGGCCTAAGAGTGTATGAGGAGCTCTCTGGGATCTAACTGCAGTTATTGTTAGGAGGCGCCTGGCAGAGCCTGAGGAGTGTTTGAAGGAAAACGTGGCAGTTTTTGGCAGCCCCATACCCGCAGGCGGCGAGGTGCGAGGCAGGTATTTTCGCTTGCTCTCGGCTGGCCGGGTTCTGGTTCCTGCTCCCCGCCAGGCTTCCGCGGCGGGTGTCACGGCTGGCAGCCCAGCCAGCCCCTGGGGGAAGGGCCTCTATCTGAAATGGGGGGCTGCCCGCCCTCTCCCAGAGGGTACCCGGCACGGCGGGGGGTGGATGAGCAGCACGGGAGCGCCGGTGCCGTTCCGGTACCCCGAAGGAAGCGCTCAGGCCGAGCCCGGGCCCCGCCGCCGCCGAGCGGTGCAGGCCGCGATGCTCGCCATTACCCATAGCCGGGTGATGCCGCAGCGCGCCGGAAGTGACGACGGGACGCCTGCGCAGCCGGCGGCCGCGCGGGGCCGGGGGCCAGTGTCGGCCATGGCGGACCGGGTGCTGTTCCGGAGAGGCACCGGGCAGGTGGGCGCTGGTCGGGGCCGGGCCGGGGTGGAGCGGTGCGGAGCGGAAGCGGGGCTTTGCAGGGGCGGTAAAGTGTTTGTGGTCTCCGCAGAGCGACGACTCGGACGTGTGGGACGACACGGCCCTCATCAAGGCGTACGACAAGGCGGTGGCCTCCTTCAAGGTAAAGGGGGGCGGCCCAAGCGTCGCTGGACCCTGGGCCGAGGCCGCTGGGTTGGCTGTTACTGTTTTCCTCCGTTTGTTCCCCCAGAACGCTTTGAAGAATGGAGAGTGTTCGGAGCCTTCGGACAAGCAGGAGCAGCGCCTGGGAATGAAGAGAAAAAACAATAAAAAGAACAGAAATAGGAAGAAGAGCAACTCGGTGCCTTTGAAACAGGTCACCTCACTTGTAAATGCTAGTGGTGCTCATACTGCGTGTTGTACTTCTCTGTGGTACTCAAAAGTAGCTTTCTCATCACCTTGAGAGTAGCATTCTGGGGCGGGGAGAGGGATAATAATGTTATAAGCTTTATAGGTTGCATTGAGTAGTTTCATTACATACAAAGGACAAACTTTTGGGGTGGGAGTCATCTCTCTTGTGGTTGGGACAAAAAGTAGTGTAGAAAAATAGCATCTTTCTCTGTGATCACTGGTGTAGGTTTCCAGTTGCCTCTCTTGCTTCTGTTGCAGTGGAAAGTTGGTGACAGCTGTAATGCTGTTTGGTCTGAGGATGGTAATATGTACCTGGCAACTATTGCCTCCATCAACCAGAAGACAGGCACATGCGTTGTTACCTACACGGGATATGGAAATCAAGAAGAGCAGAACCTGTCTGATCTACTCCCTGCAACCAGCGATGAAACAGTAAATGGGATGGGGAATTCCGGGGAGGTGAGGGACACTTTTTTTCTTCTTAAAAAGGGGAAAGAGAAAGTGGGAGAATCAATTTTTTCAGTATTTCTGGTACCGCTGTGGTGTTCAGAATGAGAATTGATACCCAGTTCCATTGTGAACGGATGCAAGCTGATGGAGGGAATAAAAGCAGTCCCTTACTTCCTGAACTCAGCATGGAGTAAATGGAGGGAACAACAACAAAAAAAATCACAAGTGAAATATAATATTGCTAAAATGGTGAGAGATAAGACTATAAGGTCTTTCCTGAGTAGGACTGGGAGGACTAGAGGGAGGGAAGGATGTGGATGGGACTTTCTGAGCTTTATCACACTAAAATTGCTTGCTGTAAACTCCTATTTAATGCATCCTATAAAAATGCCTTGGTCTTCTAGAATGAAAATGAGACTCCATACTCAACAGATGAAAGTGAAAAATCTTCCCAGTCATCTCGAAACAAAAACAACTGCACGAAAGCAAGATTCTCCCCTCAAAACCTACGTTTTCCTGCACCACCAGCAGCCCCAGGCCTGGGAAGGGTAAGCTTGGCCTTTCCTGAGATAATTCGTAGACCATTGTTAAGCCTGGTGTTTCTGAGACAGCAGGATGATACTTATCCTTGTCTAAAAAACAAATAACAGCATTCTAAGAATGGATATATATAAGTATGCATGTTAGAACCGGTTGGTATGTCATTTTAATAATCTGACTACAGTTTAGCCCTTTTGTAGTGCAGCTGTGTAGTGAAGGAAGCCTACTCCCTGGCTAACACTTCCTTTGCAATTGCCTTTTAACTTAAAAGAGGGATGTTGTTCCCTGGGCTGTGATAGTGCTGTTAATGATAGCACTGTTGATGTTTTAAAGTCGTACTTCTATCCAGTTTCACTGGACAGGACATTGAAGGCAGCAAAAGCGTTGTCCAGATGTCATAGAAGCTCTCAGTGGTAGCTTTTTTATTCAATTATGAGGGCTGGGGTATTGGTACGCTCTGCAATTTTACTGTTGTGTAGGAATCTAAATAATAGTGCAGTTAAATGCAGCATATTTTTTTTCTAAATATTACTGTTTGCGCAAGATTTCTTTATAAGGTTTTCTTTTATCTTTTTTTCTTTAATATCAAGAGATTTGTACCTAAGCTCATTTTAAAGACACTCACAAGCATAATGGAATTTTGTCAGCCTGTGCCCCAGCCACACAGGAGCAGGGACATGATCTCTTTGCCTGTGAGCAGTGTTAGATGCACTTGATGTAAGAGTGCAACCACCGACTTCCATTTAGAAAAGACTTTTTAAAGTGCTTGTATTAGCCCTTTTTCAGCACTGTTTGCCTCCGTGACATGCCTAATGTAAGTTTTACTTTTCCAGTCATGAAGTTCTCCACAGAAGTAGCTACTGTGTGTTGTTGCTACGGTGTCATTAAATTGCTGGGATGTGTTGCGTTTAGTTTGAGATTTGTGAATTGCTTCAAGTAATTTTCTTAAATAAAATTGTAATGCCTGAAATTTCTTTTTAACTTGCACTATTCAATTTTTTTCAATGTAGTCTGGATCAAAATTCAGGACATCTCCGTCGTTTTTATCTTGCTGGCCCCCACCCTTCCCAGCAGGACCACCGGTGAGTGATAGGAGAACAATGAAGAAAGTGTCAGATATGAGTATTGGTGATCTCAAGTTTTCTAACTGAATGTTCTCCCTGTCTGCATTTTTAGAACACGTTTCTTTGTTAGAGTCTGTATTTTCCAGGTAATTAATAATGCATTTGATAATTCATTACAAATATTATAAGAATCTAATGCATAAGGTCTGGTCTGCACTCATTTTGTGACAGTGAAGCTGTTTGTAAGAATATAAAGAGAAAAATTATTTGAAGAAACTACACCTTAAATTTGATAAACAGCATTTCACTGATGCGGATAACTATTTTCCCCCAATAAAACTTCTTGTGTACAGTCAAGCTACAGGCATCCCATTTCTCCCAGGCTTTAGAAATGACTTTTTTTCAGAAAATCTTTTCTTATTTGACTCCTTTTCAGAGAACACATTGAGGATACGTTCCTATTTTTCAGTTTTATATTTTTTAGAATTGGTTGCTGTCTAACCTGGAATATACCTTATTGAAACACAGACATTTTCTTTGTGATTTCTTAGTTGATTCCTCCTCCACCACCGATGAGCCCAGACTCTCCCGAGGATGATGAAGCGTTGGGGAGCATGTTGATAGCCTGGTACATGAGCGGTTATCACACTGGCTATTACCTGGTATGTGCCATTTCTGTCTTGAAATGTCTTTGTAATTCTGCTTTTATGTTGCCACTGCTGTTTCAGCTAGAAGTTGTACAGGGAAGGCTGCTTTTTAGATCTCTTATTTTAATTTATTATAGCTAAATTTAAGGGTATTTTGTATCGTATAAGTATTTCTGTCCTTGAGTAGGAGTCACATGAGCCAGCATACATGTATGGTCAGCCTTCGTTGAGTTCTTTGTTCCACTGGGGGGGGGGGGGGGGG